CTACGACTGCAGATCTGACGTGAGACAAACGGCTCAGCAAGACATTAGCTCAACAAGCCGTGTAATTGAATTTGATATCAGTCCTCAGTTGTCGGGAATTTGATGTGAAAAATACTGCGGCACGGCCATAGGAACAAAACATTCGTTCTTTATGTGTGTACGCCTCCTTTTTTCAATCCATATAAAAATGAGAAATGCTAAAGCCATTACTGTTAATAAAATGAGTAAAAAAAAGATTTTCCTTCGCTTTCTTTTTAAATTGGTTTCCATATTTCGTCCCGCACTTCAAATTATCAAGCAAACTTGAGGTTGCAAAAACCTACGAAATACCATGACATCTCGGAAAATAACTTCTGAACCTTTATACCGAATTGACTTCAAAAAATGACATTGATATGGCTACACTGACAAAAAAAAAACCAATATAAATAAAAAAAAAGAATAATTTTTTGTTGAAATGAAAGAGAACAAGAGAAAAGTGAAATTCAAATGAAATGACAGGAAATGAATGGAATTGGAAAGGAATAAAAAAACTGATTTGGTCCCAGAACATGGCACAAGAGTAACAAAATGACAACACCAAAAGTAGAAATTGTCACTGACGAAAAATTCAAAATTAGTTCAAAGTGAATTCTTTCTTATCTTTAAAAATAAATTATTATTATCAGTATAATTATCATTATGAGTACTTTTATTATCATTTCCTACACTTTTCTTGTAAATTACCACCAAATAATCCTTATAATTTCTTCGACTAGACAAAATCTAACCAACTGTTCTGGCTTCCCCTCTAAAATTTTCTGCCAAACAAAAATTCCCCAAAAATAAAGGAGGAATTTACCCGTAACAAGAGTGATAAAATTCTACAAAAAAAGACCACCTAGGCAAACTGTTAAATAAGTATCAATAATGACAGTTCAAACAAAGACTCTGCAGACACAATAGTGTTGCTTACAAAATATACGACGCAACAACACCCATTAATTAATAAACACGTAAAATCAAAAATATCAACTTAAATAATGGTAAACTACTTAAGCAATAATTCACAATACTTCTAAATACCATAAATAGAACTTAAACTATAAACAATACCCCTTTCCTGCCAAGACTAACCATTTACTTATAATTAATAAGCAAAAGTAATCTGAAATGCTGTAATTCTTCCTCTTCCCCCTACAGCTCCAAAAGCTCTCAGGAGTTCATCCAAACCTTAACTCACAGTAAAAATAATTGAAAGATCTGATGAGAATGGCGTGTAACAACCACCCTTTAAGAAGTTAGAGCCTGTACATACAGATTTCAAAATGTTACAAGCAAAAGATTTAGATCAAAATCCAATAGTACACAAAAGTCTAAAGTCCCGTTACAAAAGTATTGAAATTCACAAAGCTTTACTAACGCAAAGTCCCAAAAAAAGTGCTAATTTTTAAACTAAACGTGGCCAATACACAGCCAATTCTTGCCGTCCATGAAAATAATTATAGCTAGCGAGCAGCAACAAAAATACAAGTAAAATAAACTTAATTTCCACAGCACAAAGATATCAAAAATCCCAAACAATTTCTCATAAAAGAAGACTTTGGCGACGATTTGGTGCGCGTACCCCTCTAGCAGGTCTGGTTACATAAGCTTCTTTAGCTAGTTTGACACCAGGAACAGACATGACTGACTCACAGTCACCCAATTCAAATATTGCTGGAGGTAAGCATCTGACAAAACCATGCTCCAAAGCAGCAGCTGCCGTAATTCGAGATCTACCTTCGTACTAGAAAAAAAAAAACAAACTTCTGATTTCTCAGTTGTGATTAGAAGACCTCAAATTTTAAATCCCAGTGAAAATAGGGGATAAAAGAGTACTAATATTGTACCTGCAAAAGGCGCAAAAGCAAATCTAAAGCAGTTTGATCAATTCTTGGACAAATGCTTGGAAGGTAAGTAGGATAATCACGAGGAAATCTATAAGGCCGAAAGGCGGGGAAGCTACAAAGGGTAGGATGTGTCCTCGACGTAGGTGTTCCAAGTAACCGAAATATCAATGATAATTGCTCCTCAACAGATGATCCAGGAAACAAAGCTCGCCCTAAAAAATTCTTATTTGCGATAACACGTCAGAATAAGCAAAACCAAAAGCGAGCAACTTTGCTCCTTAACACCTACCAGAAATCATTTCGAAAAGAATGCATCCTACACCCCACATATCAATATGAGTTGAGTAATCTGTCGACCCAAGAAGAACATCGGGAGGACGGTACCACAATGTCACGACCTAACACGTAAAAATACCCATGAGAACAGAACAGAATGACGAAAAAAAACAATAAGTTGTTTAAAATACCTCATTTGAATACGTTTTTGTCGGCACCGATTTCGCCCGAGCTAAACCAAAATCTGCTAGTTTTAGCTCCCCAATATCATTTATCAACAAGTTTTGCGGCTTTAAGTCTCGATGAAGTATACGTCTACGATGACAATAAGCCAGACCTCTAAGGAGCTGCACGGTGAAAAGCTAAAAGAATTAATAATATCTCGTAATATCCTACAATTACAATGAAACAAAAGATTAAAAAAAATCAAAAAACTTAAGCATATAATGCCACCACTATGCAAAGCCTCACAAGTAAAAACTACTTACACGAACGTTGTGCATGGAAACATTTTCATGACAATCATCTAGGTACTGTTTCAAATCGCGATCGACATATTCAAAAACAAGCGTCAGTAATCGTTCCGTGTGAATAATGTCGTGAAGTGTAACAATGTTTGCGTGCCGCAAATCTCGTAGAAGAGAAACCTCCCTTATAGCAGTACAAGGTGCACCCTCTTCTAACTCAAGTCTAATTTCCTAAATAATCTCAATTTTAACGTTTCCACAAAAGATAAAACGGACGTTGATAATTAAGTTCTAAAAAAATTATCACAAGAAAAGAATATAAATAAGGACAAAAAAGCAAAGCAAACCTTCAAAGCCACAAATTTTTCTGTCAACCTTGAACGACCTTTATAAACAGTTGCATATGTACCCTCGCCTAACTTTTCCAATTTTTCATATGTTTCTAACTTCCCAAAACCAATCTCACTCTGCAAAAAAATACACAAGTTTGAAAAAAATGGATATTGAATCGAACAAATGCTAAATTTAAAAAATGGCAGAAGTCGAAAAGCATGAGAAAATTTGTTCGCTTACGTTACGGAAATGAAATACTGCAAGCAAAAAGTAAATTGAAAGTTTCACCAATGATGCACGCCGATTCTTTCTCGTCATAGGTTGGTCAAGAGTTGGTGTTCTATTTAATTTTTCGACGACACTGAGAGGCAGCCTAAGATCCGCCGGTAAAGAAAGACGCTTTTGTATATCTTGCTAAAAGAGGAACAGACTTAAAAGCAGTAATCTCTTTGAACAAAACTTGTGACACAGTTGAATTCTAATCTTTCGATCATCATTCACAAAGTGCAATGAAAGTTGTAACACAGCAAGTACAGCCTACTACGAAAATGGAAAAGAAAAATTTTTTCATAACTACAGTACTATTTGCTACTTCTAAGCATCCAAGAGTTTAAACTGACTGAACTGACTCGACAGTCATTATCAGGCAAGGAGAAGCAAATCGAGGTAATAGAACCGATAATCTACCATAATACTTCTTTATTTCTACAGACTTGAAAAGCTATTGCGTAACATATTCAACCAAACACTAATTCTAGGAAAAAACAACAACTTTTGGAATACACAAGCCTCAGTTTTTAATAAAGTAATTTAGTTTCAATCCACTGTTGAAATTCAACAAATTCTTTACCGATAAAACACTCAGGTTTTAACATTTCTATCTCTGACATGTCATTTGTTACTGCTCCTAAAATTTTGGAGGCCACATCAACAGCAACAACAACAACAACAAAAAAAAAAAAAAAAACGATCTGTAGTGAACAATCAATTAACCTCACTCCATTTCCTAGTCGGTTTTGGACGCATCTTAACATTAACCACATATCTGTCGCTAGTGCTCCCACATTGATCGCTCGTACAAGGAGAGACATCCAAACTTTCGCCATCTGAACCAAGAACACGGGTTTCGTCAACAACAGCTGAAAATTCAAAAAAAAAAAAAAA